TGTGTAGTTCAAGTATATTGTTATCGTTAGAATATACAGCGTGTCCCAAAAAAGTCCCCCCTAATGAAATCAAGCTTTTGCTAGAATTAGAACGCGGTAGTGTGTAAATAGATAGTTATTAGGTTCAGGCATTCAAATAGAGCGTCTTGCTTTCAATTGGGTTTATCATATTAATCATAATATTAAGACAATCAGATTCTAACAAAGGCTTGAAAGCAACAGAGGAGATCTTTTTTGGGGATATTTAAAATCTACAGAGATATCCAAACAATAACATAACGAAAGTTTAATAACAGGGTATATATAAAAAGCAACCTGCCATATATTTCTCGTATAGCAACAAAGGCCAACAAGTATATCATAATTTCCTGTTCTTCTGAGATATTAAAATAAAAAAGCTTTAAAAAAACTTGATCTCTTTTGGGGGTGTTAAAATGCATTCTCAATTAAATTTTCAATCTCAATTAAGTTCAACTGGTTTGATACGAACAACCCCGGTAGCTTTGTGGTCGAATAATGACCCTACGTTGTTGGTATATATAGGCATGTCTAGTCTTTATAAACAGACATTAAACAATAATAACCATGCCTTGGTTATCGCGTTGAACGGGTCTACCGGAGCCGCAAAAGCAGAGGGAGCAACCTGTGCCCTTTGTTAGCTAGATCTTGTTAGTTCAAAATAATACAGCATTGTGCTATATTGGTCTGTTGCATAGCTAATTAATAATAAGTTTGGCTGTTGTGCAATAAAAACGTTTAATTACGCGCAAATTATTCAACTAAAATTTATTAATATCTACGACAATTGGGGTACAATTGTAAACCAGGGTACGTAAGTTTAAGAGTTATTCGTTATATTCTTTATTGTTTATATGACATTGACATTGTTTCTTAATTGCTGCATGGTTTAAGCAATTTAGCTCAGTATAGTTTTTACTGTCATACTTTAGTTCGAACCTACACTTGCCACATCTATATCTATGTCTGCGTCTATTCATCAATTTAAATTTTAGCTACAACTCTACGCATGCATCTACAGTATACTATCTACGCCTAACCTACGAGTTACACATCGTGCTATACCAGTCCAAATATCTCACTACTTCGACACGTTGCGTGACTTGTACAAAGGCCATTGTTTCTAGTTGATTAAAATTTATTAGTTGTACGTTCGTTATTGAGTTCGAATATTCTATTTCACTTGTATCTGCATTTACCCTGTAACTCTTGTATTCTGAGACCGGGCGTTACGTACAGATCTAATAATATCATACGTTCACCATTTTGTCTTAATTTTTAACAATAAATAACAAGGTTGTGTTTTAATGATAATGAATGCTCTCTAGCACCGATAATATTATTGAGCGATTATGAGGGGGGTGTAGTTTTGGCCCTGTGACAACCCCACATTTTGAAATACGATTGGTAAATTTCTATCAGGTTGATAGTGGCTGGTTGTTCAGTAATGGTTATTTAAACAAAATTAGTTGGTATTTTGAAATCTACCTCCTAGTCGGATCTGCGAATCAGTTTTCATTTTATACTCATAACAAAACAGGAGCCGCTGGTTTCAAAACTCGAAGTCCAGCATATTCATTCATATATATTCAATGTCGGACTCTTTTTCTGACAGTTCTTTTAAATCGGGATTGTCCATTTATATTTAGATTTTTTGTTCAGTTTTGGAAAAGAGTGCAAAACTTTTAAAACCCAGTGATGTGAGTAATGTGTTTTATATCATCTACAATCACGTGCAAAAATTATGAGACTTTTCAGATTTTCCATCAAATTTGAAGTGCATCGCGGTACCCCTGCTCCCGTAGTCCATGCTAAAAAAAAAGCCAATTTTTCCCCACCGTACATCCTCGCAACATTGATTTTGGGGAGAGGAGGTCATTTATGTGGTTGTCTCATTAATTTTTGCATCTGATTGTAAGTGCCCGCATAGACACCAAGAGGGGTTGTCTACGATCAAAACTCGACAGGAATAGAATTATGAATGGATTCGACCTCCTAATTATAAAGAAGATTTTGCTAAGCCCCAATAAATTTCTGTACGGCCCAGTGTGCTCGTTTTTGCTTCTCGTGCAAACTTAAAGCGTAGGGGATTCCACCCGAGGATGTGTGATGTGTGTGGCAAAGTTGTTCTAATCACTTTGTTCTTGGTCAGAAAAATATACCATTATAAATTTAAGTGAATTCACCAAATATGCAACACTTACCGAATTGTTTCGCACGTTAAAGTTTTGTTTTACTCAAAAATAGACTTTTCAAAAGATCTCAGAGGCTTAAAATTTGAATATTTTTTTCTCTCCGCACCAAATAATTATGTCGTGTCTCGTGAGCATGCCTTTTAGGCTTTTACACCTACAAACGTCCTACACCTGAGTCATTTAGATGACATTATTACTTAAGTTTAATAACTTTTAGTATAAATTTCGAGCTGACCATTGAATTTTATGAGATTATGTTGATTATTATTCGGCTCAGTGAATATTTGCTCGTAATCACATTGACTAATTGTTAAATATTGACCTGGCCATACTAACGTATTTACTATAGTATGATTTATGGCATATCATTGCATAACAAACCTTGCATAAGCAGCAAACATTGTTTCATTTCATATTAATGACACCAATTTTGTCATCATCCAGCAACAAGTTATCCTAGCAAATAAAATCAGAACACTTAAGGCTTCAGCATCAAACATCACTGACCAAAAAATAGCGCAGATTGACAAATAATCATTTGCAGTAAGTATCTACCTTCATATGAACGAGTTTTTGATTGGCTTTTTGTAACAATTGTGAACAGTGTTTATGATTCGTTCTTTTAGAAATCAATTTCTATAGTTTTATAGTTTCATTGTGTTTTATTGTTACCATCAACCAATAGCAAATCTTGTTCTTAGGTTATATGTACCGAGCCGAAATAATGCCACGTTTCTCTGCAACTTGCCGTGGCATACCATTTTCCTGTGGTAGAGATAATTCATAGGAACTACATAATATATGCTAGACGTGTGGTGGTGGACAAGTTTACGAGGTAAAGTGGTGGAGATTACCATTTTCCTGTGGTAAAGATAATTTATATGAACTACATAATATATGCTAGACGTGTGGTGGTGGACAGGTTTGTATATACTGTACCATGCACGCCTCCTCAGACAAACCTATTGCAAATTCTGCAGGTCTTGAGAGTCTGGAAGTCTAATCTAAAAAAATCTCTAATCGGAACAAATCTGCATAAATTAATTCTCACCCATAACAAGAAAAGATTGTTTGTTTTTTCCATTCGCTTCTGCCATAAGCAGCCTGTCAAAAAAGAAATGAGAGTGCACCAAATAGTGCCGTGCGGCGGGGCTATATCCATACTGTCGCCTGCCTGTAATGCAAAACATTAATTCTCAACTTCTTTTCAGAAGCGTGTAGCAGCTAATAAAGTATTGCATCAACAATACTTTATATCAGTAAAAACTAATCTCCGTTTTCATTACACTCAATAGAGACCTTAATCCCGACGCACACGAGAGCTATTTCTGTTAAGCTAAAGTCACTCGTGAACATTAACGTAAGCAAGTTCTCCCAGTGCACGGCGACGTTTTGCGAGATTTTGTTAACGCGTGCTATTTGCACCATATATTCAACATGTTGAATAATTTAGTGCACGAGTGCATTACTTTTTCCCCACTACGTGTGCGGGCAAAGAGAGCAAATTTCTGCCATAACGTATACAAGCTAATATGCATATACAAATTTGCAAATGTTTTACAAAGTTGCATACGTCCAATTGCGAGCTTTTGTTCACTCGCGCCATTTCCACCACATATTCAAAAGTCAATTGTACATATGAATTACTATCACTTAGCGCCTTATACAATACTTTACAGGCTGTATAAAAAAGTACCCCCTTTTGAACTAAAGATTCTGTTGGAATTTGAATGCATGACTAACACTGGTAAATAGCATAGTAATTAGCTATACGTACATTTTTTAAAAGCACCGGTGAGTTTGGCATAATAATAAGGCATTCAGAATTTTACCAAAAGCTTGATTTTAATAGGGGGCACTTTTTTATACACCCTGTATATCCAAAGCCTGTAAATATAGCTCAACACATCGTCGGCTGGACCAAATCACAACCAGTAGCCTAGGCTTACAGCCACACGCTAATGTTTTCGAGCGTTTTTGCATTCGTTTTTATGCCAAAACGATTTCAATCACCGTCAATTTACAATACAAGTTGAAGCAATTTAATTTTTATGGGCGCTGAAATGCCCAGTTTGCAAGTTGGATGAAATGCTTACCAAATACGTCTATAAAGTGGTATGAAACTTCGCAATTTTAAATATATTAAAATTTAAAGTTAACTATTTGTTTCCAATACCACATCCCTATTTGATGTATATCACTTACGTTTACTATATAACTTATACAGTAATATAGTAAAAAAATTATATTCCCAAAAATGGTATTATGTTTTTCTGGTGCATTTTACATTTAAGCACCAAAGTTTGGGAGTTAAGTTTGCCTTAAGTTTTAACCGATTTAACACCACTAATGTGTTAAAATTGGTTACTTTGTCTCGTGTAAATTAAAACCTAAAACGATAATTTTACACCTGTTTGGAGTAAAATTGACGGCAAAGATTTTTGCATGATTTAAGTTAAAGTACACCGGATCATGGAGTACAATAACTCGTGCACCTCGCATAATAGCTATTACACCAGCTTTAGGTAAATTTACCAAACGTGTAAACCTTTACCATGACTTGGTGTATGCTGAAGGCGGACATTTACACCATTTTTAGTGTTGGCTGAACACTCAGACATTTGGAGTGATGCAACACCATCCCCGAAAATTAAATTACTCACCGTATCTTGCTATGATAGAAAATTAGGTAATTAGAAAATCAGTTATTGAGAAAAATAACTATCCATAATTTGCATCTATGCACAAAAATATATACATATTTTAGGGAATACGTACCGTTATAATTTAAAACGTACCGTTAAAACTGGAACTGGATTTTGATGGTGCTTGAGTAGTTTGAACAACCTCTTCTTCTTCTGCTACCGATAAAATTCTAAATGGTGCGTTGTTATTATCTTTCGCTTTTTGAATCGGCTCAATAACTTCTTGGATGGTGGTGTTAGCTTCAGTGGAGTTGAATATTACATCAAAATCCACAACGATGCTTCCTGGTGAGAACAAAATAATCCTAATGCTAAGAAATCCTGGGAATGGTTGATATAATGTTAACAGGAAACCCTTAATTTCAGAACTTAAATTTTTATGTTCTTGACTGTCGCTATTACTCAATTGGTTGTTATAATCGCGGTCAATTGTCATCACAATTCCGAAGGTCGTTATTCCCGCTGTAGGGAGGGTTGTTGGAGAATCGGTTGAAGAAGTTGTGACAACTGAAACAGAGCTGGACTTGAATAATGACTGAGTCGCAGTAATTCTAACATTAACACTGGAACTGGATACTGATGGTAATGGAGTAGGTTGAACAACATTGGAGCTGGATTCTGATGGTGATGGAGTAGGTAGGACAAAGCTGTGACTTGATTTTGATGGTGATGGAGTAGGTTGAACAACACTGGAGCTGGATTCTGATGGTGATGCAGTAGGTTTAACCACACTGGAACTGGATTCTGATGGTGATGGAGTAAGTTGAACTACACTGGAGGAGCTGGATTCCGATGGAGATGGACTAGGTTGAACAACACTGGAACTGGATACTAATGGTGATGGTGATGGTGATGGTGATGGTGATGGTGATGGTGATGGTGATGGTGATGGTGATGGTGATGGTGATGGTGATGGTGATGGTGATGGTGATGGTGATGGTGATGGCGATGGCGATGGCGATGGCGATGGCGATGGCGATGGCGATGGCGATGGCGATGGCGATGGCGATGGCGATGGCGATGGCGATGGCGATGGCGATGGCGATGGCGATGGCGATGGCGATGGCGATGGCGATGGCGATGGCGATGCGATGGCGATGGCGATGGCGATGGCGATGGCGATGGCGATGGCGATGGCGATGGCGATGGCGATGGCGATGGCGATGGCGATGGCGATGGCGATGGCGATGGCGATGGCGATGGCGATGGCGATGGCGATGGCGATGGCGATGGCGATGGCGATGGCGATGGCGATGGCGATGGCGATGGCGATGGCGATGGCGATGGCGATGGCGATGGCGATGGCGATGGCGATGGCGATGGCGATGGCGATGGCGATGGCGATGGCGATGGCGATGGCGATGGCGATGGCGATGGCGATGGCGATGGCGATGGCGATGGCGATGGCGATGGCGATGCGCGATGGCGATGGCGATGGCGATGGCGATGGCGATGGCGATGGCGATGGCGATGGCGATGGCGATGGCGATGGCGATGGCGATGGCGATGGCGATGGCGATGGCGATGGCGATGGCGATGGCGATGGCGATGGCGATGGCGATGGAGATGGCGATGGCGATGGCGATGGCGATGGCGATGGCGATGGCGATGGCGATGGCGATGGCGATGGCGATGGTGATGGTGATGGTGATGGTGATGGTGATGGTGATGGTGATGGTGATGGTGATGGTGATGGTGATGGTGATGGTGATGGTGATGGTTATGGTGATGGTGATGGTGATGGTGATGGTGATTTTAATTCTGACATAGACTTTGTTAACGACGTTGATATAGGTTCACGCATTGTCTTTGATGGTGACATTGATCTCAATGGTGACATTGAAATGGACATTAGTTTTGTGTATATTGGCATTGATCGATTGAATTGGGCACCTATGGTGTACATTGACATTGATTGACTGGGTTGAGCACTAATAGTGTACATTGACATTGATTGACTAGGTAGAGCCCCCATGGTGTACATTGACATTAAATGACTCGTTTGACCTCCAAATGAGTACTTTGACATTGACTGACTGTCTTGAGCACCCATCGTGTGCATTGACATTCATTGACTGTGTTGAGAATCCATCGTGTGCACTGACATTGATTGACTCGGTTGAACACTCATCGTGTGCATTGACATGGATTGACTGGATTGAGCACCTATCGCGTGCATTGACATTGATTGACTGGGTTGAGCACCCATCGTATGCATTGACATTGATTGACTGAATAGAAATCTCATCGTGTGCATTGACATTGATTGACTCGTTTGAGCTCCCACGGTGTACTTTGACATTGACTGACTTGGTTGTGCACCCATCGTGTGCACTGACATTGATCGACTGGGTTGAGCACCCATTGTGTGAATTGACATTGATTGATTTGGTTGAGCACCCACGGTGTGCATTGACATTGATTGACTGAATTGAACACTCATCGTGTGCATTGAAATTGATTGACTGGGTTGAGCACCCATCGTGTGCATTGACATTGATTGACTGGGTTGAGAACCCATCGTGTGCATTGACATTGATTGACTGGGTTGAGCACCCATCGTGTGAATTGACATTGATTGAATGGGTTGAACACTCATCCTGTGTATTGACATTGATTGACTGGGTTGAGGAGCACCCATCGTTTGCATTGACATGGATTGACTGGGTTGCGCACCCATCGTGTGCATTGACATTGATTGACTTGGTTGACCACCAATCGTGTGCATTGACATTGATTGACTTGGTTGAGCACCCATCGTGTGCATTGACATTGATTGACTGGGTTGAGCACCCATCGTGAGCATTGACATTGATTCACTTGGTTGAGCACTTATCGTGTGCATTGACATTGATTGACTGGGTTGAGCACCCATCGTGTGCATTGACATTGATTCACTTTGTTCAGCACCCATCGTGTGCATTGACATTGATTGACTGGGTTGAGCACCTATCGTGTACGTTGACATTGATAGACTTGGTTGAGCACCCATCGCGTGCATTGACATTGATTGACTTGGTTGAGCACCCATCGTGTGCATTGACATGGATTGACTAGGTTGCGCACCCATCGTGTGCATTGACATTGATTGACTCGATTGAACACCCGTCGGGTGCATTGCCATTGATTGACTTTGTTGAACAGCCATCGTGTGCATTGACATTGATTGACTGGGTTGAGCACCCATCGTGTGCGTTGACATTGATTGACTGGGTTTAGCACCAATCGTGTGCATTGACATTGATTGACTGGGTTGAGAACCCATCGTGTGCATTGACATTGATTGACTTGATTGAACACCCATTGTGTGTATTGACATTGATTGACTGGGTTGAGCACCCATCGTGTGCATTGACATTGATTGACTTGGTTGAGCACCCATCGTGTGCACTGACATTGATCGACTGGGTTGAGCACCCATCGTGTGTATTAACGTTGATTGACTAGGTTGAGCACCCATCGTGTGTATTGACATTGATTGACTGGGTTGAGCACCCATCGTGTGCATTGACATTGATTGACTGGGTTGAGCACCCATTGTGTGCAATGACATTGATTGAATTGCTTGAGCATCCATCGTGTGCATTGACATTGATTGACTGGATTGAACACCCATTGTGTGAATTGACATTGATTGACTGGGTTGAGCACCCATCGTGTGCATTGACATTGATTCACTGGCTTGAGCATCCATCTTGTGTATTGGCATTGATTGACTCGGTTGACTACTCATTGTGTGAATTGACATTGATTGACTGGATTGAACACCTATTGTGTGAATTGAAATTGAATGACTGGGTTGAACTCCCATCGTGTGCATTGACATTGATTGACTGGGTTGAGCACCCATCGTGTGCATTGACATTGATTGACTTGGTTGTTCACCCATAGTGTGCACTGACATTGATTGACTGGTATGAGCACCCATCGTGTGCATTGACATTGATTGACTGGGTTGAGAACCCATTGTGTGCGTTGACATTGATTGACTGGGTTTAGCACCAATCGTGTGCATTGACATTGATTGACTGGGTTGAGAACCCATCGTGTGCATTGACATTGATTGACTTGACTGAACACCCATTGTGCGTATTGACATTGATTGACTGGGTTGAGCACCCAACGTGTGCATTGACATTGATTGACTGGCTTGAGCATCCCCCGTGAGCATTGGCATTGATTGACTCGGTTGAATACTCATCGTGTGCATTGACATTGTTTGACTGGATTGAACACCCAGTGTGTGAATTGACAATGATTGACTGGGTTGAACACCCATCGTGTGCATTGACATTGATTGACTGGGTTGAGCACCTATCGTGTGCCTTGACATTGATTGAGTGGGTTTAGCACCATACGTGTGCATTGACATTGATTGACTGGGTTGAGAACCCATCGTGTGCATTGACATTGATTGACTTGATTGAACACCCATTGTGTGTATTGACATTGAATGACTTGGTTGAGCACCCATCGTCTGCAATGACATTGATTGACTTGGTTGAGCACCCATCGTGTGCGTTGACATTGATTGACTGGGTTGAGCACCCATCGTGTTCATTGACATTGATTGACTGGGTTGAACACTCATCGTGTACATTGACATGGAATGACTTGGTTGAGCACCCATCGTCTGCACTGACATTGATTGACTTGGTTGAGCACCCATCGTGTGCATTGACATTGAATGACTTGGTTGAGCACCCATCGTCTGCACTGACATTAATTGACTTGGTTGAGCACCCATCGTGAGCGTTGACATTGATTGACTTGGTTGAGCACCCATCGTGTTCATTGACATTGATTGACTGGGTTGAACACCCATCGTGTACATTGACATTGATTGACTGGGTTGAGTACCTATGGTGTACATTGACATTGAATGACTGGTTTGAACGCCCATGGTGTAGATTGACATTGATTGACTGGGTTGAACACTCATCGTGTACATTGACATTGATTGACTGGGTTGAGCAGCCATCGTGTGCATAGACATTGATTGACTAGGTTCAGCACCCATCGTGTTCATTGACATTGATTGACTTGGTTGAGCACCCATCGTGTGCATTGACATGGATTGACTGCGTTGCGCACCCATCGTGTACGTTGACATTGATTGACTCGATTGAACACCCATTGTTTGCATGGACATTGATTGACTGGATTGAACACCCATGGTGTACATCGACATTGATTGACTGGGTTGAACGCCAATGGTGTGCATCGACATTGATTGACTGGGTTGAGTACCCATGGTGTACATTGACATTGATTGACTGTGTTTAGCACCCTTGGTGTACATTGACATTGAATGAGTAGGTTGACCACCCATGGTGTACATTGACATTGATTGACTGGGTTGAGTACCAATGGTGTACATCGACATTGATTGACTGGGTTGACCACCCATGGTGTACTTTGACATTGATTGACTGGCTTGAGTACCCATGGCGTACATTGACATTGATTGACTGGGTTCAGTACCCGTGGTGTACATAGACATTGATTGACTGGGTTGAACACCCATGGTGTACATCGACATTGATTGACTGGGTTGATCACCCGTGGTGTACATCGTCATTGATTGACTGGGTTGAGTACCCATGGTGTACATCGACATTGATTGACTGGGTTGAGCACCAATGGTGTACATAGACATTGATTGACTGGGTTGAGCACCCATGGTGTTCATTGACATTGATTGACTGGGTTGAACACCCATCGTGTACATTGACATTGATTCACTAGGTTGAGCACCCATGGTGTACATTGACATTGATTGACTGGTTTGAACGCCCATGGTGTGGATTGACATTGATTGACTGGCTTGAACTCTCATCGTGTACATTGACATTGATTGACTGGGTTGAGCAGCCATCGTGTGCATAGACATTGATTGACTAGGTTCAGCACCCATCGTGTTCATTGACATTGATTGACTTGGTTGAGCACCATCGTGTGCATTGACATGGATTGACTGCGTTGCGCACCCATCGTGTACGTTGACATTGATTGACTCGATTGAACACCCATCGTGTGCATGGACATTGATTGACTGGATTGAACACCCATGGTGTACATCGACATTGATTGACTGGGTTGAGCACCCATGGTGTTCATTGACATTGATTGACTGGGTTGAACACCCATCGTGTACATTGACATTGATTCACTAGGTTGAGCACCCATGGTGTACATTAACATTGATTGACTGGTTTGAACGCCCA